AACCCTCCCAACTCCCCAGATCTAGTCCCATCACATATACAGTGCCCAGCTTATCTGTGCACCACAGATTTATGCCAGGATACATCTCTGCCCGCATTTAATCCACAGAGTCCTCCATACCACACCCAAGCTCTCCACCAAGTCAGATACTCCTCCAGGGTCTAGTGGGGTAAATCTTTTTGATCACCCCCTTCACACAACTCCTCAACCCCCTCACATGCCTACATCCTCCAGGCTTGGACCAGGAAGTTCCTCTTGTACACCAGGTTAGTACCCTCTGTCCACCTGGCTTCACTCCACCAGAGACAAATCCAACCTCTATACTCAATCTGACTTGCATAGCTTCTCCTCTGCCCCAACCTGCTCTGTCCATGTAATCCCTAACAGAACATATTCAGATCTCATCACAAAAATACGGACAGTAGGAAAGATCAAAGCAGTATATACCCCAAGACCAGTAGGCCTGTGGGGAATATTGTTCAATGAGAATCACCTGGATGAACCCCGGAACAAGCATGACCTTTAGTAAAGGATTCAAGGAGTTTAGAGAAGTCATGAAGGAACAGCTCAATGAACATAAAAAGAAAGAACTTGAGGAGAGCAAATGTTTTTAATTATTTTATAACCTCAAATAATAAAAAAAATATTTAAAAATTCCAAAACAAATCTTCACAGAAATTGGAAAGATAATGTTAAATTTTATATGAAAGACCCAGGATAGCCAAAACAATTCCCAACAACAATGAAAAACACTGCTGAAGGTATTACCACCCCAAATTTCAAGTTATACTACAGGGCTGAAGTAAGAAAGGCAGCATAAAAACAGACACATTGACCAATGGAAGAGATAAAGACCTAAACACAGCACCGCGCTCCTACAGTCACGGTTCTTCCTAAAGGAGGCCAACGGCGCCCACTGGAGAAAAGACAGTGTTTTCTACAAACTGTGCTGAGAAAAATGAGTAGTTACAAGCAGAAGAATGAAACCAGATCTTTATCTCTCAACCTACACCAAACTCAACTCCAGACTGATCAAGAACTTCAACATTGGAAGTGACAGGCTGAATCCAATAGAGAAGAATGTAGCTAATACATTTCAGCTTATAGGCACAAAGTACTAAAACCAACAACTGATAAATGGGACCTCATGAAATGAAAAGCTTCTAGATACAAAGAAAAAAATCAAGAAACCCATTTTTAAAATGGAGCATGGAACTAAACAGAGTTCTCAAAAAGCTTAAACACTAATTCACAAGAAACATTTAAAAAATTTAACTATCCTTAACCATCAGGCAAATGAACTGAAACTACTTTGCAATTTCATCTTACCACAGAATGGCTCAGATAAACAAAACAAATGATGACAGGTCACAAACATGGGAAAAGGCAATGCTATTCACTGTTAGCGGAAGTGTGTTTTAGTTAGAATTTCCATTGCTGTGGTAAAGCACCATGACCAAAAGCAATTGAGGAGAAAAAGGTTTATTCAAGCTAACAGTTCTATATCACAGTCCATTGTTGAAGAAAGTCAGGACAGAAACTGGAGTGAGAGTTTTTGTTTCTTAAAAAGCTCAGTTATGAGAATATGTTTTTATTTTAATCCCACGTGTGGGATATGGGGTAGCTTCAGTTTGCCCACAGCTGTTAATTATGACTGTCTCTTGCTCTAGCAGGGGCATGGTTTAACCAGCTGCAGATAATTTAACTCTAGGGACTATGGAGAGGGCATAAATTCCAGAGCCCAGAGGAACTGAGAAAAAAAAGAAGAAAGGAGTGCTGAGGAAGAAGAGGGTGAGCTCTGAAGAAGGAAGAGGCTGCTGGTCTCCTTGCTGCTGTACCTCTGCGATGTTGTTGGTTCATCTTTCTGCTGTGTTTGCTCGACTGCTGGATATACTGAAAACTGAGACTGGTATTGCTCCAAAGAACCTGATGACCCTAATCAGCAAGAAGTAGCTCAAAGAGAACTATGTCCCAGTCCCCTCTAATCTTCTAGTGTTGGGGCATAGGAAGGAATAAGGTTTGGAAGGGAGGAAGAGGTTTAAGAATCCAAATAAAGAAGGATTAAAAATATAGTGCCTACAGACACTCAAGCAGGAGAGGAATCTGGAGGCAGAAGCTAATGCAAGAGGGTCGCTCTCTAACTCGTTCAGTAATGAGCTTGCTCAGTATGCTTTCTTATATCATCCAGGACCATCTGTCCAGCACCACCTACAGTAAAGCAGGCTCTCCCACATCAAGCAAGAAACTTCCCTATGGCCTTTACTATAGGTAAATCCCATAGAGGCATTTTCTCAATTAAGATTCTTTCCTGCATGACACTCGCTTATGTCAAGTTGACATAAAAACTAGCCATCACAGGGTGTAAACTGGTACAGTCACTGTGAAAATCTCTGAGAAGTTACCTTAAAAAGTTATAAATAGATCTACTATATTTTTCCATTCTTTGGAATACACCTCAAAAACTCTATCCTACTACAGAGACACTTGCTCATCTATGTTCATTGCTGCTCTATTCACAATAGCTAGGAAATACAAACAGCTTAGATATCTGTCAACTCTCAAATGAATAAAGAAAATGTGGTACATTTACATAATGAATTATTCAGTTGTTAAAACTGGGTGTGGAAAGATGGTGGGGTGATTAAGAGTACTGGATGATCTTCCAGAGGACCCAGGTCAGGTTCCCAGCACCACATGATGACTCACAACTATCTGTAATTACATATTCAGGGGAACCAATGCTTTCTTTTGGCCTCTACAAACATCAGGCATATACGAGGCACACAAGTATACATGCATGCAAAATACTCATACGCATAAAATTCTAGAAAAAAATTTAATAATAAAATGAAAACTATGAAATTTATAGGTAATTAGATGGAATGGTAACAATCATTCTGAGTGGGGTAACCCAGAGCCAGAAAACAAATCATCATATGTTCTGTCTTATATAGAGATGCTAACTTTGAATCTTTGGATATAAATTTGAGTACCCAAGGATGTCAGAAAATTGTTAGGAGACCAAGCTAGTGGTTGGGGAGATGAGATTTCAAGGGAAGAAAGAGAGATCACAGATGATATGAAGGAGGAATGTGGACTAGCTGAGCAGGAAAAAGTGGGTGGGGTGGGGGAGCAGGTTAGGAGATGGAGTATAAAGAGGGATAACCAAAACTGAAGATCTTTGAGAGAATCATGTGAAAGTCTATTGCTGTAGACATTTCATAACATATACTAACGTACACATACAAAGTTTAAATAGAATTATCCTTTAATGGGGGCAAAATACCTTCTCCAAATACTGTATGCTATCAAATGAAAACCCTGTGCGGGAATAGGTGACCTTTTTTGAAGTTTTTGGCCGGTGGGAATTCAGAGACCCCCACACATTACAGGCTATTGCCATTGTTCCTGGTGGCCTCCAGAACTGAATGGTGAGATGCTCTTGCCGAAGACACCAGATCCTTGCTTCATGAAACAGGGAGAAATCAAGCTGTCATTACTAGTTACTTTTCCTAGTGCTGGGGGGTATGAGGCATGCTAATGTGGAAGAAAGAAAAGTAATCTGTAAACTCTAAAAGTTACAACAATGACTAGCCTAACAGCATATGCATACTGTACAAAAGTGGCATGGATTTCATGGGAGTAATCCACTTTTTCTGATTGGATCTAGGACCCACTGCAGGAGAAGGAATGCATGTCTGCTAATGGAGGCCAATAACCCGTGGCTGCATAGCCACGGGAGAGACCTAGGGAGAGACCTGCAACTATTATTCTGCTGAATAGACATAGTATTAATCTGACTTCTAATGGCTTATCTATTCTTATTACATGTTATACCATGTAACAGCATGGTCTGATGCTTTGATTGTTAATTATTTTGCTCCTGAGATCTGGGTGCTGCCCAGGCAAGCACATTCTCATACACTTGCCCTTGTTGTGTAAATCTTGCTCTATCTAATGTAAAGTTGATTGGTTAATAAAGAAGACCTACATCTGGGCAGGGCAGAAGTGAGAGACGGAGCTAAGGTCCACAGGCTTTGAGGGAGAGAAGGATCTTGGGTAGAAGGTGCGGAGAGAACCACATGGCTGAATCGGCTTGGGTGGAGGAAAGCAGCCCAGATGAAGAGCATTAGCAAGTACTTTGGGATTATGGATGGGAAGCATCCCAGATAGGAATGAATAAAGCAGATGGCATGGGATGGAGGCTGGGAGAGAAAGGTAGTTTAGAGGGTTAATATCTGCCCAGCCCCAGGTAAAATGAGGCCGTTCTAAAGTACAACAGGTGTCTGTGTCTTTTGTTGATTATGACAGTAGGTTATATAATACCACTGTAATATTTACAGGTTTTGATAATAACCTATTAGCTATATTTTATGTTTTCTACAACCTACCTATGCCAGGGCTAAGAACCCACAGCCTATAGGTACCTGCATTTATTTGCAGGATTACCTGCTTCCCTGTTCTGCAGGGAAACTGTTTCTCTCTTTTGTGCAAAGAAGAACCTTGGGGATAAGAGATGGTGAAGCTTCATGGGCCAGTATTCTTAAAAACGGAAGAGTTATCCTACCCCCACATCCTGGTCCCTGCCTCTCTGACTCCCGAGCTGTGAGGAAAAGAAGGGCTTTACCCAAAGACCACTGTTTCATCCACTCCAGCGCAGCTCAGGATTTCGTTGCCCTCAGATCTTTTGCCTGGGCTGGGCCCCAGCCTGGCAGAATTTCCATTTGTAAGTAAGCCTTAGGCTGCTTGCGTACCTTGAGCTTATTGCCCCAAATTGTGCAACAAAGCCAAGCTTTGCCTTCACCAGCAGGGGGCCGTGAAACACAGACAGGTGCTGCCACAGTGACAGCCAAAGGACCAAAATAGCTGTCAGATGACCACAAGGGCCAGTTTACCACTTTTTCTCCTGAGCCCAGAAGCAGCAGCAGCTAAAAATAGGCACAAAACCGACATGCTTTAGGACAAATAAGCAGGGACAGCACCATTCTGACTAGGGCACAATGAGGTCGCTTCGTTTCATTTCTGCTGAAGCCGTGGTGTCCCACCCCCAGCTGGCACAGGAGGGCCTGGACAACGTAGCCTACAACCTCTACCCGCTTCTGTTTAAGGCCAGTTACCTGCTAGAGCAGACAGAAGTCACCCGTGCTGTGCTGAGTCACTGGCCGCTGGAGGAGTTTCGCCTGGCTGCGCTGCTGGGGCCGAACACTGACCACCCGGAAGATCTGCGTGACCGTGCCTGCAAGGCCTGTCTGGAGGCCTGTATGCAAGGCCTAGCTGACCGTGTGCTGCAAAACGGGAGCAACCGGCTTCGGGTAGCTGATTTCACAGGCATCCAGGATGTACAGGTGCAGCAGTGTCCCTGTGGGAGAGCACTGGGAAGGTGGGGCCGAACCAAGGTCCTGGCCAGGACCTGCTGCCAGCTCCAAGAACAGCCCTGGGCAGCTGGGCACCCCACTGAAGTTTTTGCTGACCTTTATGTCACGGAAGGCAATTTTGACTTGGTGGTGCAGGCCCTGAGGCCGTCAGGCCCAGCCCCTCTGCAGGTCTGCTGCCCTTCCCTCCGGGCAGACAGCCTAAGCCCTGGGCAGCTCCTCCAAGTGCTCGGCCTGGCTCAGCCGGGCAAGCTTAGGAAGCTGGAGGTAGTGCACAACGTCAGGCTGCATGCCGGCCACGTGCAGCAGCTGCTGGCCCAGGTGGGCTTCCCTCAGCTGACCTCACTCACTTTGCCCACCAAGGCCTTCGATGCACCCCCAGCCTGGGCCCCGACTCCAGAGGGTGAGGACCCCCTCCTTAGCTCCATCGCCTGGGAGCTTGGCCAGATGAGCCAGCTCACGGAGCTCAGCGTAGCTTTCTCCACCCTGACAGGGAAGATCCAAACATTACTTAGGTAAGTCTCAGATAACTGGGAACAGGTCGGGTCGGGCCGGGCAGGCTGGAGTCACTGAGGAATACAGATCCTCAGGAAAGATCCATCAGAAAAGGACCAGAGCACTGAGCCAACTTGGAGGACTCCTTTCAATTTACAAAAAACAGACATGGGGTTTGTTCCCCAAGGTCCCTGCTCTCAGAAGGCATAAGCAGGAGCATTTTAAGTTTGAGGCCAACTACAAATAGAGGCCTTATCTCAACAAACAAAAACAAGGGCTGAGAGTATAGGGTACTTCCGTGATAAAATACAAGCAGGTCTCTAGTTTTAGTTCTCAGCATCAGAGAGGGAAGGAGGAGGAAGGAGGGAGCTAACTAAAAAGTAAACAATGCAGAAGTCACACCCAGACCTTCCACTGCCTATTGCTGTATAACAAACTGCCCAATATTTAGTGTCTAAAAACATGTTCACATGTCAGAAATGGGAATGCAGCCCAGCATAGCGAGGTTGTGTCAGCTGGACTGCCGACTCACCTAAAACCCTGGCATTGCTATCTCCTCCTCAGCAATGAAGAAGGGCGGGAGGGCAGCTGCCGGGTAGTGATGAGGCGGTCGGGGTGGTTTCATTCCCAGGAGAGTACTGTCCATATGTGGACAGGCAGTGGGGAGGCAAGGCAGCAAGAAGAGGACAATAGGGCCAACACTCTAGTACACACTGCCTTGCTTAACAAGGGCTTAGGGGGGGGGGTCCCAAAAAGGTCCAGGGTCCTAGAAAATGTATATTCTCAGGAACTCTGGGTGGGGATCTTATTCCAGAGACATACCTTCCCCTCTAGCTGATCCAGGAAAACCCAATGAACACAGGCTATGGAGCCCAAATTCAGGCTGCTGGGTGTCTCTTCCCAGTCCTGAAATTGCATTGACTCTTTTGCCATTGGTGACGGTACTCTTTCAAGCCAACTCTTCTTTTGCTGTTCCCATAGTCAACATTCAGTCTGTTCTGAGATCATGTGCATAAACTTCCCTGGTCAACTTGAAAGATGGTGGTGGTCCACTTTAGGTTCAGTTCTTGAGGGCTCAGCAGGCGCAGCAGTGAGACTTCTAGGAGAAGCATGACTTTCCTGTCATTAACTGTTTTGATTTTTTAAGTTTTGCTTAATAATATCATGAACTCATAAGCAACATGAAATGAAGTGTCAGCTTGAGTTCCTGGCAGGCTGCCGTCTGAGATCTGTCTGGGGTTGTATTGTTAGCCTTCACCAAAACTCCAGCTCACCTGGGACCCTCATAACATTTGATGTTTTTTGCCTACTCACAGCCCCCTCAAGACACCTCTAAGAGTGTTGGACCTAGCCAACTGTGCCCTTAATCATGAAGACATATCCTTCCTAGCAGACTGTAACCACACTGCCCACTTGGAGGTGCTGGACCTGAGTGGACACAACCTGGTACATCTGTACCCTTCTACCTTCTTCAGGCTCCTGCGCCAGGCTGCCCCAACACTGAGAGTGCTTACCCTGGAGGAGTGCAACATCACAGACAGTCACGTCAGCATGATGATTCTGGGCCTCAGCCCTTGCAACCAGCTCCAGGAGTTCAAGTTCCTCGGGAACCCACTGTCAGGCAGTGCTCTCCAGCGCCTCTTTGCTGCACTCTGCGAACTTCCTAGGCTGCGCCACATTGAGTTCCCGGTGCCAAAGGACTGCTACCCCGAGGGTGCCACCTACCCCCAGGATGAGCTGTCGGTGTCCAGATTCGACCAACGGAAATATGACATGATTGCAGAGGATCTGCGAGCAGTACTGCTTCAAGCTAACCGGGAGGACATCCAGGCTTCCACCCCCCTGTTTGGAAGTTTTGACCCAGACATTCATGAAACCAGCAATGAACTTGGTACTTTTTTGTTGCAAGCTTTCAAAACTGCTCTGGAAAACTTTTCCAGAGCACTAGAACAAATGGAGTAGGTCCTGGAATCATGCTGTAAGAGGCTGTGCATTTCTAGTGCCCTGAGGTCAGGCCTGGACCAGATCAGGTTCAGCTGTTCGTCACCAGCAGCATCACCGCGACAAGATTTCCTTAGTGAAAACTGCAGGCATACTCATTACATACTCCAAGAGGAAGGCCAGATATATAAATGACATATGAGGTGCTCCTATGTGTCAGCACAGTAGGATCCTAAAGCAGAGGGGAGGCCGCCTTAAACGAAGAGAGAAGGCGGAGGAGAATGTGGATACTAGGACAGGATGTAGTGGGAGCAGGGGCAACTTGGCTTTGATGCCTTGAGGGGAAGGAGATGAGAAAACTCATCACAGAAGCTGTCCAACAGCAGCAGCCCATAAACAGCAACAACAATCAAACAGACACTGAACACAAAACTGAAGCAGACCCATGAGCCTAGCAGTTTAGCTATGTTCTATCTGCTATACTTCTTACCAGATGACATGTGCCTACACAGAAATATGGGGCATGGGGGTGGTGGTCAACTTTCTGTTGATGGCTGTCTTGGCTTTGCTTCCAATCTAAGCAGGTTTGCACCATCTTTTGGTAACTGAGGACATCTAGGTGCTGAAATATGCCCAGTGTTTCTTGGCATTTTCTGTTCAGCATCCAGATCCTAAGATAGGCATGTCTAACTTGAACAGTGTATGAGGCCACAAGTGAGAGGATAGCTACGAATGCTGCCTATCACAAAACTGTAAACTTAGATTTTGTGAAATCTGTTGTGACTAAATTAGTTTTCAATCATGAACTTTGTACATGATAATGTGTGTAATGCACACAAAGCACTACTAAGAATGGCTGAGGCCTGGCCCTCTGCAATTCCTTTGAAGAACAAATTACCACATAAGAAAGATCTGTTTAAGACTTCATTTCCAATATCTGCTTTTGCCAAAGTATTAGTGTAATTGAGTGCTAATAAAACGGGAGTGTGGCTTAACTTATGTACAGTTTATTTCATTAATATTCTGAATTTTAAAGAGTATGAAAATAATTCACTTGTGACAGAAGTAAAACCTTAGCTCCATAACTGCCTGTGTACCAGCCAAGGGTCTGAAATGTGACTCCAGTTTGTGGTTCTTCTCCATGTGTCCCCAACCAGAGGTAAACCATCTCAGGTCCTCCCATTATATCTCCTCCCCTAGGTCTGTCTCCATACCAGGTACTTCCGTTTGACCCCTGAACAGCAATAAAAATGTTACTGATAATTTCAGTTTGAAAAGCAGACTTAGGATGGAAGGTGGCCATGCCATAGATACAAAGAATTGATGTGATTCCCATGGAAAATGTGTCATTTTAAAAGATAAATCCTAGAAAAAGCCATGAAGTAGTGTGTCCAAGGTCTTATGAGCAGATCAGTGGAGTAACAGAAACTAGAGCCTGTGCAGCTTCCTTTAAGGATTGAATGCATTAGGAAACACAATTTAAGAAAACTGTTTCTAAGATGTCCTAGAAAAAATAACTTCTCCCAGTTCTGGTAATACAGTAGAAAGGCATAAGTATCAATTGAGAAGAGCTGTAACTGAGGCTGGAATCAGGTGGTTTGGCTGATTAGCCTGCTGCCAACTCTGCCAAAATGGTTCTGAGAACTTAATGTGGAATATAAAACATGAGCCTCAGTGCTCCTTGATCATTGTATACTTGTTTTCTGGATAAGTACTTCTAAGTTTGTCATATATCTATTCAGAAAGATATACACAGGGAGGAATATAGGACTTGCGCATAAACTGACCACTTTATTCACTTCCTGCCACTGACCACAAAATACAGGTTCCTAGTTTGGAAGTCCAACACCCAACTCAGACCCACTCCAACAAAGCACTACCATGACCTAGGCAGAGCACTTTCTCCAAATCATGGCTCCAGATCCCCATCCTCCAGAAAGCAAGGCTAATTAGAAAAGCCCACTTGACAGACTTCATACTGCATCCTTTCGAAAGGCTAGTCTAACAGGTATCTGGGGACCTGGATGCTGGGAGCTCCCAGCACCGGTAACTACACTGCTTGCAGAGTGTGAATGATGCCTGCCGCTTGCCTTCCTGTGGGAATGGAACTGGTATACGTCAGACAGAAGGGTCACATGAATAGCTCTCACCCATCAAAATCTTTTGCTAGTCTCCAGGGAGTTTCCCGGTAACCTCTCATGTTCCTAGTCATACCCCTAAAGACTGTTCCCTGTGACTCCACAGAGTGTGACCCTTGGTGGCTCCACCTGTTCTACACCATTCTACTGCTGTTCTCTGCTGTTTTTATCTTTCTTGCTATAACACCTCTTACCTCTAAGGGCAACCACAGGTGGAGTCTTAGAAAACTATGGCAAGTCATAGAACCTGAGTATCTTGGGAAATTACCTTTTGCAAGATAAATAATAGGTCTTAGCTCATAAAACCAGAGTAAGGATTACATGAGTTATGCACAAAGGGTCAACTCATATAAGCTGTGTGTAAATGACTTGTAAGTACTTATTTGCTTTTTAAACAAATGTTAAAAACGGTGACAATACATGTAAGACTATCAAGTCAAGAGTAGTGATACACACTTGTAACCCCAGCACTTGGGAGCCTGGGGCAGGAAGACTGCACGTATAATGCCTACATGGACTATGCAGCAAGACTCTTTCAAAAGAACAGTAAAGTCATACAAATAAAAGGTCACACTATTACTTTAAAGGACAAATGTTATTGACTGTGTATCATTGCTAATAAATAACATGCTTACTGAATATAGGAACAGCTAAATTATTATTATTTTTTCCAGAGCTGAGGACCAAACCCAGGGCCTTCTACCACTGAGCTAAATCTCCAAACCCCTGAACAGCTAAATTCTAAGCATTCACTGCGGTACCAACTGGGTATATATATATATATATATATATATATATATATATATATATATATAT